TTATCACATACCTAACATGTCAAATACGGTCCTAACTAAAGTAAGGTGTTCAACTAACTGATCGGTAAAATGCCTGATCGATAAGACAAATATCCGAGCAAAAAACTACAGTAACAGACTAACATAAGCTTCTCAGGAGTAACCATACATTTGAAGACATCCATTTCGATGCTTGGTATTACTATCAGCAATAACTTTTCTTGAGAAAATCACGGGAGATCAATTGCTAAAAGTGTATCCCAAAAACTTGGTTTTCTGTTTCGGGTCAGGAGCTATTTCACTTCCAGTCAGCTGCTTATGATCTATGAGGCACAGATCCGACCTCTCCTGGAAAACTGTTCCCATATTTGAAGTGCAGCACCCAAACATACCCTGAAACTGTTGGATTCTATCCAAAAAAGGGCAATTCGTCTCGTGGGTGATGCCTCGCGCACAAACTCACTAACTTCTCTGGAAGACCTTAGAAAAGTTGGCGATCTGGCTCTATTTTATAGATATTTTCATGGACGATGCCCTTCTGAAATATCAACAATTGTTCCTCCCTTGGCAGTCCCCGCAAGATTAACCCGTCGAGTTGAGGCTTCGCACCCCTTCGTGGTCACTTTGATGGAGACCGGCAGAACATCTCTTTCCAAAGACTCGTTCATTCAACGAACAGCGAGGCTCTGAAGCACATTGCCAAGGGAGGTGTTCCTCGAGGCATATAACCTCCAGAAATTTAGGAAAAAACACCAATTCCTACCTTATTTCCCTTGGTTCTCACGATGTTCTCTGAACATTACAGGATATACCTTTTCGTGGGAACCAGATCCTAAAAAAAAAAATTATGTACAGAACTCGTTAGAATAAACAATTTTTTCGAAAATGTTTTTTTTGAAAACTGAGAAATAAAAAAATTACATTATTACATAACCTGCCCAAAGCGGCCCTAACTTAAATAAGGTGTTCAACTAATGGGTACAATGCCTGATCGATAAGACAAATATTCGAACAGAAAACTAGTATGTCTTGATACACAAGCCTAGATTAATTAATTTATTGGATTAATTTTTATCAGTTTTCAGTTTTTCGAAAAAAAATCTGGAAAGATTTATCTCAACGGGTTCTATAAACAAATAAAACAAGGAATAACCCTGTGAAGCTCAAAAGAAAACTTGTCAATTTATGAGAATTTATGAGAGTATGAAAATTTATGAGAATTCATGGTAGTTCAGAAAATTTCATTTCCATCATTTAGCCAACAAAATGTTCTACAATTCCTATCGATTTTTCAAACACTTGATATGAGAGTGAGAGTGAAATAATAAAAAATCGTGCACATGAAATAAATCACTTGTTTGGTGCCCCTTACATCGACGACCCCTTAGTCTGGCACTGGCCAGCTAAACGACAATTCTTTTGAATCGAGCCTCATAAATTTGAAATCACTTTTTTGCCTTTTTTATAGCGGATCTCAGTGAGTTTGACTGGCGTTTCATTCGGTGTTCTGTATTCCTGTGAGATGACTGTGTCCCAAAAAGGCATCATGATTCGATGCCCACTCCTTCAACCTACGGTTTTATAGTCTATGGTCATCGTCGATTGTACAGTTGTGACTTTGTTGTTCTCGCCATTTTCTAAAGGACAAATACAGGGTGATTACGAAAATGTTCGCCTCGTAATAGAATATTAAAATATCATACATAAAGCATTCCTCAAAGTACAGAATTTCCTAAAATGTAACAAATGACCCCTTCAGCCTTTATTTACATTTTAGGTGTATCACATAATTGATGAGTAAGCGTTATTCAATAAATATTACCCTGAAATATCATCAATTCTCATAAATTCTCATGGATACCAATATAACATATTGAAAACTCATAGGGAATACTCCTCACATTATGTGATTGATTGGTCATCAATGTAATGATTATGGTGAGGATCCTTCATCAACATTTCTGATTATTTCTTCTTTACTCCTCGTTCATGAAATTATATAAAAATGCATCTGAAATGAAGGTTCATAAATAAATATGCTGCTTTGTTCCAAAATATCGCTGTCTCAATGGATTGAACTATAACAGTGAACCAGACGTATAACGAAAGCGTCAGAGAAATACTCGAAATACTATGAATTCTCATGAACTCCTATTAACACCCTTGAATTCACTTCAAATCTCATCAATGCTCATCAATTTTCATCAATTCCCATCGATTCTTATATAATTATATCGAGACAGCAGCGGTGAATACATGATATTCTATTAAATGTGTTAATTTTCATGTGACTGACATCATTGATGTGTGGAGCAGAATAAGAATTATTGTCAGATCGACTTTGTTTCGAATTTTTGCCGTAGGTGCCTCACCATATTTAGCACCGCTTGTAATCTGACCGACAAGTTCTCGGAATACCCGCGTTCTGTGCGTTTCATAGAACGAGAAGAATTTGTCTGTCTCAGGAGTACGATATATCTCGAAGAACGAAAACCCCGACAAAACCAAGAAACCAACAAGCCGCGACAATCGAGCGTAACGCGTAACAATTCTAACTAACAATGAACAATGGCAAACAAATTAAGCTGCTCAACATTAAGTCTTATCATATTTTTTGAAGTAATTCACTTATTGGTGAAGAAATAGAAGACTTATATAGACTTGAAACCAGTGTTGTTCCAAAATGGTACCAGATAACTCTTGAGAAAATTAATAGATTCAATAATTCAGTACCTACCCAATGATTTCTGGAAGTCGTAGCTTGCCATCAAAATAGTCATTTATTATTCCTGAATCAGAGGGAAAGATGAGAGTGGAAGAGGATGAGAGAAAAGGGGAGGGAAAGAGTGTCAAGGAGAATGAAAGAGAAAAGATCTTCTTGAACAGTATTCCTGATGTTCCATTCGTCACCCTCATGAAATATAGCGGTATAATCCGCAAAGCAGATTATGTGTTCGTTCATGTAGATGGAGAATAATATCGGCCCCAACACTATTTCTTGAGGCACACCACATTCTATGAATCTATTGTAGTTCATGTCGTCATTGATCGTCACGTACTGTTTTCGACCTCTTAAAAATATTTTTTATAGAGACTAAAACAGTTGGTGTTCCTTATACCAACTATTTTCAAAGTTGAGAGTATGGAGTGAGTGTTTCGCCTTTGTGGATTTTCCTTCTTTTTGAAGCCAACTGCATATCAGATAATAATTATATCTATTATATTTTTCAAGATCGTAATCAATGCTACAGGTCGATGGCTTGTAATTTCAGTTTGGTCTACATTTGAAATGGGGTAGGTATAATCACTTTTAAGTCCAATGAAGATCACTGCATAGGTTTCTTGATTTATGATTCTAATGAAAATTTTTTGGTAATAAAGGTGAATTCGTATCGAATACGCAGTACTGAGACCTCGACTGAGACGTAGTATTGAGAAGTAAGATCCGAGGTAAAAAGTACAGAAGATAAACGATATATTTTTCAGTGTTGATATTTAATATTAAACTTTGGGCGTGTAGTTTCATTTGGGGAGTAAAAAAATCAAGCCTGCCGAAGTAGTTTGACCCTAATTTCAGTTTTTGTAGTTGTTCACATAGGACACTACTATTTCTGCAAATTCCTGTAGAAATAGGCCTAATGGTGAGACTGAGCGAAGAGACGTATGTTATCCTGAAATATTGTAACAAAAACCACATGATTTCCGGAACATCGTTCACTCAATACAGGGTATATTTGACACCGTGAAATTTGGACAAGTCGAATTAGACAAACTACCCTTTACAGAAAAAAAATTATTGGAATGGGCCACTTCATGTTATGAGTAGTGTATTCCGCCAGACGTGGATTGCGTTTGCATGGGTCGGCTACAGGAAACGCACCGTATGAGTTGAACATTTAATTTGTATGCATTTCAAGGACTTCTAACATGTTAATTTCACGTATAGAATAAATTGTTACATAAGATGGCGCGCAAGCGAATTTATTGTATGTATTCATATAAGACGGCAGGTACCGTTTGAAGCCATGATAAATATGGGATTTCAATGTGGCAATCATCTATCAAAGAGAAACAAAAAAACACGTCATGATGGCCATGATGGTGTTACTATAGTTTCGGGTCTACGACCATCTCCAGATGCAATACAAAATGAATTGAAAAATTGAAAGTACAAAGGAGACCTATGAAAAGACTAATATATCGTCGGCTTACAAGGAGAATGCACTAAGTCAAATAATAGGAATCGTGGAAAATTGCATTTTCAGTATCTGTAGAATTCCCATTGCCAGAAATTAGGAACTCCCAATGTATTGATTGTTTTATTTTTGTATCTATGGCTGCTTCAAACAGTTCAGCAAGTGTCTATACCAATTTTGAGAATTATAGACTCATTTTTCACACTAACAAGCCAGTGGAGCAAAAAATTGTCACTGACTTAATGCCTTTTCCCAGATTTGATGTACTTGTTGCCCTTTCCTAGAATTGAATCAATACAGAAGTGACTTATTGCACTGATTGCAAAAATGGAGATACTGATTATACGTCTCAATCATCCATTTTCTTTTGGAGCGCACGAAAGGATATTCCTTTGATGTTTTCGAAGAACATCCTGCGTATTTTCAAAGGATAGTGGGAATTAGAAACAATGAATGATAAATGGTACTCAATGTTATTTTATTTTTTGATAAATACGAAACGTTTGACACAACAATAATGAAAAAGATGAGCATGAAAAATATACCAGAAGTATAGTGACGATATTCTATTCCACTTCTTCATCTTCCGAGTCCGAAATTGCTGGTTCTGTCGTGCAAGGTGATTTATTAGTTGAAGGAAGATTTTCAAACCAACTGTGCAACGGCTGTGGAATGACATTTTTGCTACATAAGCTCAGTAAATCTTTCTTCTTGGCTTGAGCAATAGGTAGTTGCTTCGTATATAACTTCGAAATTTATTATGAACTATCCTGAAAATTTATATTCCGCAAAATCGATGATTAAAGTGCTCCGTTTTCGTTGCAGTTTCCCCACCCAAAGTGAAATGCTCAGAGACCCAAATGAGGGTCGAGGTTCCGATGCCTGCCACCGTCAAGGGGGTGTACATCGAGGGGTTGCGAGACTACCCTGACGTCGCCTGCAGACCCCACACGGACGCCACTGGCGCCCTGGCTGTGTTCGAGTTCGATCTACAGGATGTCTACCGATGTGCTGTCACCAGGGCAGTCAATAAGCAAACGGTGAGTAATAGATTTCTTTGAATAATAACACAATGGAGTCATTGTGATATCAGATACGGAAATAAAATTGATGACATACAAAGTACCTCATTGATGTGACAGTAAAACAAGAGCAATTTTGTGTTATAGCTGTAGAAAATAGTATATTGTTTAACGAGCACGGAATGATAGTGAGTTCCTACGAGAATGAAGTTTGCAGCATGAGCCATAGGCGCCCTCTTAGATTAATCCACCTGTATACACGGTGTCCCAAAACATGTATACAGTATTTCGTACTGAACAAATTTTATTCTATTAATTTTATTTCCAGGGGAAACAAATATTCTATCAAACCCTGATAATGGAGCACATGGAAGATAAAGGACACACTCTCAAAGAAACTCTTCATGTCAAATGCTCAATCTATTCCATTAGAAACCACACCGTTTCCAAAAGGAATGTTTTGCCAGCAGGTTTCCAAGAACCAGAGTAAGTAAAAATTCTCATTCATCAATTCATTGTCACCAAGTCCTGTACAATACAAATTCATTGAAACAACGAAATTTGAGTATATAAGTAAGTATTGAAACAATGAATAAGTAGAACACAAGCATATCTCACATGGATGAACAAATATCAATCACACGCACACACAATCAAGTTCAATTAAAATTAGTAAGTGTTTCTCAATAAGGAGTCGAATGGAGACAGTAAATAATCTCGTGAAGTGTAAAAGCAGTGTATCAAAATATAATTTTTTATAAATGACTTGAATCTGGTGGGACTCAACGATTTCATATTTTGAGGAAGAACATTATAAAAATTCAGATCTATAATTTTTTTTGCCGATTTTGTAAATTTAAGCGGGGTAATCTGAGATTATCTGCTTTTCTAGTCTGGTAACTGTGAAAACATGAAATAGTCATGAGATCATTTGTATTCTTATGAATCTCCAAAAGGGACAAATAGATATACAATGAAGGAAGAGGCATAATTTTGAGTCGTCTAAATGAAGGTTGGCAGTGATCCCTGAATTCAGCTCCAGCTACAATTCTGACTGCCCGTTTCTGAAGTTTGAAAATTTTGTGAGAACTACAAGAGTTACCCCACAATAAAGTACCATAACTGACATGCGAGTGAAAAAGAGCAAAGTAGCATGTTCTAATAATATCAGACGACAATAGTTGATTTTTCAAATTTCTCAACACGAAAATTGAACTAGAGAGTTTCCGACTCAATTGTTCGATATGGCATGCCCAAGTGATTTTATCATCAATAATCACCCCAAGTAATTTGACATTATCTCCCGTTATATTCTGGTTATTGGTAAAAAATATGAGTTTTTGAGTTTTATCCTCATTGAGCTTCAAATTATTTGAAGCAAATCATTGTTGAGCTGTAATAATAGAGTCAGCATTAGCATCAGCAGGAATGCAAAACGTCCAAATTAGTAAAAGAATCAATTAACGTTGTATCATCAGCAAATGCTATGCATGACTTTGGAAACATAGAATGAAACAGGTCATTGACGTAAACAATAAAAAGAAGGGGCCCTAGAACATAGCCTTGTGGTACTCCATGTGACACTGAGATAAAATCAAACAGGTCATTGACGTAAACAATAAAAAGAAGGGGCCCTATAACAGAGTCTTGTGATCTGAAAAAAGACAATGGTGAACCTCGAACACCATAATATGACAACATTTCAATGAGTATATTGTAATGAACGGGTATTTTAGAGAAAATGGTATGAAGCACTGAATTCTTTTGAACTAAGTACAGTGAAAAATAATTGTCTTGAACAAGAATAACTTTTACCATGCGTCTATACTAGGCTATATTATTACGTGAACGGACGAATGTTTATTTTGAATTGAGTGCAGCATCATAAGCATAAACAAATGTATAGAATAAGTAGGTACGTTACCTTTGTGAAACGAATTCACTGGTCACTTGAGAACGAAGCAGGTTAATATCACAGGACCGAATTGAGAGGCAAAAATGACGTTGATTAGAATTTGCAGAGAATTTATAAGTTCAGTAAAGAGGGAGTGACTTTGATCTGATTGGTTCGAAAGATCAATAAATTATTATTTAGCCCAAATACGTAAAGGAAAGAGCATGTTATTGTCAATTTTGTTAATAATCATAAAGTGAATTATTATCATAACATTAGAGAGTTACATCGAAATCATCTCACTTGTGCAAATTGAAGTCAAGACAAATTAATGAGAATCATAAACCACATTGAATTATTGCTTGGAAAAGGGTTAATGGAAAACCATAGTAGGTGACAGTTTTATTAACATCAAGAGTATGATTTGAAGCTTTAAATTATTTATCGTCATAACAATTCAGAACTACAACGAAATCTTTTTAGTTTCGCAAATTAATCCTAACATCTGTAATTTATCGCTCAAAAATCTACGAAAAATCATGCCTTATATAAACACAACATGGAGCTTGTCTTATATTTAATTGATTCTTCCAAAATTTATTGCTGAATTCTGTATAAAAGCAGGAACAATCCGAATAAAAAGACAGTCTGAAGTTATTCTTGAAGCAGTCTTGATCAGTCTCCAATACGATGTCTCGATCTCCGTTGTGTTAGTTGAAAGTTTTGTTCGTGAGCCTCGGGAGTGATTGAATTTCAATCATTGAATCTATTGAGCAGAATGTAAAATGTTGAGTCTTAAACGTGACTCAATACAAAACGTATCCAGCCGACTTTGTATCTGTCTATCAAACATGCTACGTTCGAACAGTACCAGTGAACTTCGTTAATAATACCTGTGTAAGTGACCACTCAGGTAGATTTATTGTAAACTGCAACTTTGGTGACAAAGACGTAAAAGTGAAGTGAATCTCTCGCCAATTAAAAAAACAAGTGAACAGTGTAATAATGTGCAATCTAAAATGTAAGCAAACTTTGATTTTGTTGCCTGTAACCTCTGCCTGACCATTCTGCCGAATATATGTCTCAGTAACTATCTATATGTCGTCTTATTGTCTACAATCTCAGTCTGCCTCCTGCCTCAATAATCAACGAACCCATTGATCGAGGAAAACTTACTTTGTAACGACCCCCTGTAGTAGGCCAACTAACGAAGAAAGTTGGGGGCATTACAATTGGTGTCAGTTGTGTGGGGTTGAATTATTCAGAAGCTGTTCTACCCTCAGCGGCAGGAGAAAGACTTGTAGGCATAAGACTGAAAAATGTCACAAACCGGAGACGACGACGAACAGAAAAACATCATTGTCTCCATGCCCATGAACTTGGATGCAATACCAGAGTACAATGGATCAACAAGTATTCACGATTTTCTCCATATCATTGAGGAAAGAAACAGCTATATTAGCAGGATGGACCGAGAGGCAGCAGACAGCCATTACTCGATTGAAATTACGAGGGGTAGCCAAACAGTTGATCGATTCAGAGCCTGATCTACGAACTACAGCCACCTGGGACATCATTGAAGAGGCCCTACGTAAGCAGTTTGGAATAGTGCAACTACCTGGGCAAGCCCTGAAGGCATTCATCGAATGTAGACAACGCAACGGTGAGTCGTGCAGACAATTTTTGGCTCGATTAAAGGTTGCTGCAAATAAGACTGTGACCTTTACTGCTCGTCCAGACGACAATCGAATGATTAAACAGAAATTAGTAGCAGACACCACCACGCAGTTTGTATTAGGCTTGCTGAACCCGATCAGGAAGAGAGTACTATCAGCAGAGCCCCTAACCTTAGAAGACGCAGTCAGAGTAGCGGAAAAGGAAGAAATAATAGAAAATCTAACCAAGATACCAGAGAGAGAATGCAGAGCAGTGGAAATAATGAACAATAGACACCAAACATCAACTCCTAGGATCTTAAAATGTTACAGATGTCAAAAGCTCGGACATTTTGCAAGGGACTGCAAAGAAAAAAACAAGTGGCAATAGGACCTTGATATGTTATGGTTGCAACAAGCCTGGACATGTGATCAGATTTTGTCCTAGAGGATCATCCCAACGAGGTCAAGGTCATGCGAATAGGACCTGGAGCTATCCACGTCAAGATCAGCCCACCAGGACTTTAAACAGAAACGCAGCTGCATTCCAACACCACCATGTAGCTGCTGGAGAGGAAGCGCGACAATAAACCATAGGACGGCTGAGATACTGAGTTGCACCCGGGAGATGGAGGAACCCCGAAACATAGCGAGAAGTCAGTACATGACAGCATTAATTGATTCGGGTGCACAAGTATCTCTCATTAAGTCAAGTATCGTGCAGGGGTTTAATATTCAAGTTAACAATGAGATTAGTTTGGTTGATATCCAAGGGAGGAAAATTAGCGATAAAGGGAAGGTTATTATTCCGATTAATTTGAACCTGAGAAAAACTATAGAACACGAATTTATTCTCATAGAAACAGCAAACTTCAGAGCTGATATGCTGCTGGGGTTGGATTTTTTACAAAGATGTGGAGCGAAAATAGACTGGGGAACAGGGAATATGTATATTCTAGATGAAGTTATTGAGTTATTAGAAGAAAATAACGATTGGGAAAAAGAGATACAAGTGAGGTTAGCTGAAATGGAAAATAATCTGGTTGAAATCAGGAATACCTTGAAAGCCTTTACTTCAACCGTACTCAAGGAAGATATGAGTTCGATGCCACTGGAATTGGCAGCGAATTCCGGTGAACAGGGGAATTCCAGTTCTCTGGTTCACCAAACAGCAATATCCATCCCAGATACTCCAAGGTATAGAAAGAAGTCAAAGGAAAAGGAGGACTGCAGCGTCCAAAGGTAAACGTAGTGATACATGATCACATGTTAGAGAAGAGACAATCGAAAGTCGAGAGAGTAGCCTCGGGAATGCAACTGCTACTCAGGCACAGAAGGATAGGGCACAAAGATGCACCTCAATGTCTGGAGACAACAGTTGCCGAAACCAATAAGGAGGCGGGTATCTGAAACACGGATTCAGAAAAAGTGGAATAGTTGAGTTAAAAAAAAAATGAAAACTGTGAAAGAAATATGTTCCCAGAAGAGATGAAAAATAAAGTCTAGAAGAGTGTGAAGTGTAGCTGAAGAGCAAAGCAAGAATGTCGTTATAATTTCGAAGAAAGCTTTATTTTCTCGGATACAAGAAGCCATGGCACAAGGATGCACTTCAAAGTCCGCAGATTAGAGCAGAAACGGAAAAATTGTGTATTCAATAGAAGAAAATTCAAATGAAAATATAATTGGAAAGTAAGAGGATGGTAGAATACAGAGTTATAGGTTGTTTAGCGAAAGAGGACGTGGCACCGTGATGCACGTCGATGTCTAAAGGACATATGAGTAACGGCGAGAATATACATATGAGAATGAGACAATGGATATCAACCTTGAACTAAGTCATGATATAAAAAAAAATGGACAGATTGAAAAATATAAACTCTACTCCTAATGGTGTAAACGAATTTCCAAAGGGGCCCTTGGAAGACCTTCAGAATGCA